TCAACTTGCACACACTAAACACTTATCTCACAGATATAGAGCAGAATCTGGCTAAGCCTTTAAATCTATAAGCTATGCTTTAAGTTTTACCAGTAGTCCTCCAAAGCACTTTAATGCATGTCATTTTATAATAAATAAACAAACACAAAACCTACAAACTGAGCCTTAAGTCATCACAATGTTAGGCAGGTTAATGTGAGTGAGGCCAGAAGATCAGACACATTTATATAGGGACTCATGTGTTTATTTTGGGTGCCATCTTTGGGTCCGCTCCTCTCTAATACGTCCAAGCGTTTCGACCATGTGCTCCAGAAAGCATGAAGGCAACTTCTGGCCGCAAGAACAAGAGCTAGTTTGCTTTTCTGTGTTTGGCTCAATGACATGAAAAAAATCAAAAAGAAAACAGTGTGAACAAATCAGAAACAGTACGAAGGGTGTGAAATCTGTTACACAAATAACGGCGCCTATTTCTGTGCAGGCCGTCCGTGCAGTGTCCAATTCTGCATGTGGATTTCATGGAGTTCATGAAAGACAGCACATACTTAGCCAGCTGACAACATTTATGTCACTTAGATATATGTGCATAAATACACAGATGCAGAACCCCTCTCTCTCTTTACATGGGATGTCACGCTTTGGTACCAAGTCGATGCTAAAACTGTTAGGATGCCTGGGTCGTTTGACCCAGGGTTTTGAGTTTATATATTATTTATCATTTCTATTCTTTGGTTTCTTTGTTAGAGTTATGTCTTATGGTTTGTCTCTGTGTAATCCTTACTTGCTGTCTCCCCTGTCTGCTATATCCCCGTGTCCAGTCAGTGTCTGTGTCTGCCCTGGTCCCACGTCTCTGTTCCCTCTGTTGCAGTGCGTGCTAGTCTGTGTCTTTAGTTCAGTCTGTGTCGTGTTTCCTGTTTTATTTTGAAGGTCCTTGTCTGATGTTAATGTATATGGTTTCGCTTCCCCTTGTCTCGTTAGGCCTGATTTGCCCCAGCTGCCTGTTACCCATTCCCTGATTGCTCCCTCTGTGTATTTCAGCCCTGTGTTTCTCTGTGTCGCGATCTACCCTTATCTTGCTGTGTGCTCTGCTAGTCTTCTGGTGTAAGTTTATTTTGATATATCCAGTTATGTTACATTTGAGTTTAGCATTAAAGCTGTTTTTGAGTTCAAGTTTTGCCTCTGAGTGTCTGCACCTTGAGTCCACCTACTACCACTCCTGCCTGCACACAGCCTTCACATAACAAAAACTCCAAAATCACAGCAGGACTTTTCATAACATAGATGCTACAGGTGGCAAGAGTTCTACATGGAGATAGTTTTAGTTTGAGTTGCCTGATCAGGAATTAAAAACATCATGTTTTTTTAAAAGAATTCAAAGCGTTTCATCTTGTAATGGCTTTTTTTTTTATTTATTTTTTTATTCCAGTTGTTTTTCTTGATACCTGTTACTTCCTTCCTGTCTAAGCTCTACAGAAAGAGTTTAACAGCAGCAGCTTTGTCACCACCAGAGGTACTGTAGCCATACCCTGGATCCTTGAAACAACAAGGTCTGGACACAAACTAGGCCATGGGCCTACTTCTGATGAATCCCCACTTGACAAGAGTATCAATGTGTATCTGTGGCTTCAGGTCCCAGGACAGCTAATTACTTTCTGTTTTGAGTCCTTAGCTGTAAAAAA